CAGCCCTGCTCTCCTGTCCCCATCCCCGTCCCCATCCCCATCCCACACCTGGCAGCCTCTGATCCGGCACGGGAGCAGGTTCATTTCCCGTCATAGCTGTGTCGGCTGAATTTACAGCCTCGCTCCGAGTTATTAATAATAATGGCCTCACTCTTAAGTAGGGCTTTTCATCTGCCTCGCAGCCCTTTCCAGAGGACGTCTGCAGCATTATCACCATTTTATTCTCGTTTCAGTGGGCACAAGAGTGAGATGGAGAAGGGGCAGCCGTGCCAGGCAGCTGAGCGGGGGGGGTGTGGAGTGCCTGGTCCCACGGGGAGCGTGGCCACGACCCCCCCAGGGAGGCTGGAATGCCGAGGTATTCCGAGGCCCTGGAATGCCGAGGCCCGGTGGATGCGGCCGTGCCGTGGTGATTTACCCCGGCAGCGAGCCCAGGCCCTGCCGCACGGATAAATCCACTCCAGGCAGCAATAAACCAGCGTCACGGCATCGGTAATCCCAGCGCTCCCACCGCTGGGAGACATCCAGGGGCGACGCGCCTGTGCCGATAAATCCCAGTTCCGTGTCAGCAGGGAGGTCCCTGGGGGGGGGGGAAATTCCCAGCAGAGCCGTGGCCGGAGGGGTGGGTGCCGCTAGAAACCCGAGGGAGACCCAAGCACAGCACAGCAGCCTGGGGATGGATCCAGCACACGGGATTGCAGCAGCCACGTGGGACTGGGGACATCCCCGAAACGCCCCCCACGTGTCCCCCCGTGGTGCCCACCCGCCCCGGGCACCTCCGGTGTCTCCCTGCCATGTGCCGCAGCGGGGCTCGATGGGCAGATTTATTCCCCTGTAAAAGAGCTTTGATCCCAAGTTATTTTTTGTTTACTAGCAACAAGGTATTGTAAATACATCTTTGCCGATAATTATAGAGTCTGGGCGCACACCTTAATCTCCATAAAATATCAGATGCTACAATTTGCCTGATTTAATGAGATCGGAGGCTGATAAGCCGCTGAGGTAAGCTGTAAACCTGGGGGGGAGGAGGGAAATGATTGCAAATGTGCTAAACCACCCTCGCCCTCCTCCTCCTCCTCCTCCTCCTCCTGCTGCTGCTGCCACGTGCCCAGCCCGGGAGCGTGTGCCCAGAGCCGTAGCCCCCTGCCCAGCTCCCGGGGTGGGCCCGGGCTGTGCCGCAGCAGCTTCACGCAGGGATGGGCATTTAGGGCAAACGGAGCTTTTTATACAATTTACCTCATTAAAACTCCAAGAGCTGAGCGCGGCACCGGGCTGTGGCCGGGGGGCTGTGCCTCGGCACACTCTGCACCCCGTGGGCCCCGTGCCATGCTGGAGGGGGGGTCAGCACAGCCCCGGTGCCAGGCTGTGGCACAGGCAGGTCCATGTGCTGGCTGTGGGCACAGCCATGTGCCAGTGGAGGTGTGAGAACGGGGTCCCGGGGGGTGTGTGGGCACGGCTGGGCTGCCCGGGCAGGTGTGCACACCAAAGGATGCACACGTGTCCACGCGTGTCCACGCGTGTCCATGCACGCACAGCCCTGCCTGGCATCACCGACTGTGCCAAGGATAAGCTGGGGTGGGGGGCTCGTGCTGGAGGGGGCATGAAGGGGGCTACACACCCAAGGCCACCCACCTGTGTGCACACAGCAATGCTCTCGCCATGTCCCTCCCCGCACACAGGGCTCTGTGGGGTCCCAGGTGCCCGGGGTGGGGGTCCCCCTCCTGCAGGGATGGGGGGCCCTGCCTGGAAAGCAGGAGGCTCCTCCCAGTAACGAGAGCACCGTTTCCACAGCAACCTTAAAGGCCCACAGCTGATGCCTCACTGACGGACCTGGCTGGTGCCGTTCCTGGGGAACACCGAGCCCATCTTCCTGCCCATCACCCCGACCTTGGGCCACAGCACCCTGTCCCCCCACCCACCAGCCCTCAATCCATCTCCCCCAGCTGGTGCCCGGGCTCACCCACAGCCCTCTTCCTGCACTGAGATTTCCAAAAAACAGCAGACCCTTTGCACCAAGAGTGACAGGACCCCCCAGACCACCCCTGTTCCCACCTGGACAGTGCAAGGAGCTGGCGGTGACCTACAAATGTCAGGCTGACGGGTTAATTAATTTCCCTCTTCCTCCAGCCGCTATCAGATGGAATCAGACGTCACCTGAGACTGTTAATTGGGCTAATTATTCCAGTTTCAGATTTTAAATAATTAGTTACTGTTGACTCCAGTCTGACTTCCGCAATTTTCTAAAAAGGTCAGATGGTTCCCGGCTCCCAAAACCCAAGAGATGGGGTGGAGGAGCTGTGGCAGGGGCCAAGTGCACTGTGCCGGCTGGGGACACTGGGGACAGCACAGTCCCCACCAGTGCCGTGGTGGGAACATGCCTCGTGCTCACACTGAGCTGGAAGGAGAGGGACATCCTCTGCCTCCATGGCAGTGGAGGGAAACCAGGAGAGAGAAGGGCAGATGGAAGTTCAGGGTGAAGGGGGGGTGGGTGGGAAGGAGCCCCTTCCTCCCTCCCTACCCCAACATGGTGACACCTGCCTCAGGCTGAGCTCCCTGGACAGACCGAGCCACAGCAACCCCCAGCAGCACCCGGGTCCCCCCGGGTACCTCATCCCTCCTGGTTTGACTCCTGGGGGGAAATCTCAGCCTGGTGTTTCCAGCACCTGTGATTTTTCCACAGGGTTTCCCAGATGTTCGGCACCGAGACACAGTTCTGGGCACAGGGCAGGAGCGTGGGCACATGGGCAGCACCTGCCCTGCAAAGCCTGATGGTGGTGGCCAAAGTGAGACCTGGTGCCCGTGGGCTCTCCACAGGGACCACTCACCACCCACCCGGGGCATCACAGAGGGGGACACGCCGGGCAGAGGGACAAGCAGAACCAGTTCATCCCCAGGCTCATCCCCCCAGGAACGCCACGCTTCCTCCCAGCCTCATCCCCGCTATTAATAGCCTTCACTAGCCTCCTCGGGAGCCATTTGCATATTTGATTGCAACTCCGGGGCGGGGCAGGGCCCTTCAATCAGCCGCTCCCGCAGTCTCATTTGCATGGGTTGACATTTTGTTCTGGGAGCAGTGACACCGGCACCGCGGCTGGGGACACGGCTCCGGGGGGCCGAGGTGGGCACAATGTCTCCAAGCCAGCAGTGACGCCCGGGGCACTTCACATCGGCCACCCTGTGCCCGCCCAGGAGCACCAAGCGGGGCCGACAGCCCCTCTTTGGCTGTCCCAAACCCGGCAGGGCCTGATGGAGCCTCGGGGGCCGGTGTCCCCTGGCGCTTTGGTGGCCCGTGTCCCCAGGTGCCCCGCTCTGCCCTGCCCCTCTCTCCAGCCCGACTCCCGTCCAACCCGCCCGTCGGGACGATCAGCAGCGCCCGGCGGCGGGCAGGGTGTGCCCAGCCCGACAGGCAGGGCGTGGGGTGGCGGGCACGCCTGGGGGGTGGCAGGGCGTGGGGGACAGGGCGTGGGGTGACGGGCACAGCCGAGGGTGGCTGCCCGTCCGCCAGCCCTGTCTGGAGCTGCCGCACATCAAAGGCCGAGGGCAGGGCGGGACGTGCCCGGGGAGCGGGGGCACCCCGAGCCCCAGCGCGCCCGAGGGCACCCCGGGGGGACGGGGGTCGGGACACGCCGCGATGCCCGTTGGGCCGTTCGGTCTCAGCGCGGGGCCGGGGGGGACATCGGCGGGGGATCAGCACCGCGGACAGCGCCCGCCGCCAGTGCCACCATGGCCAGCGCCAGCACGGCCGCCGAGGCCACCGCCATGGCCACCATTGTCACTACGGCCACCACCAGTACCATGGCTACCACTACCATGGCCACCACTGTCACTACGGCCACCACTGCCACGGCACCGCCGCCACCACTATAAACTGCCACCACGACTGTCACAGCCACCACTGCCACCATGGCCACCGTGGCTACCACTGCCCCACACAGCCTGGAAACATGTGCCTCAGACGGCCACCCTGCGGCCCCAGCACCAGCCCCACTGGCAGCCCCAGGCCAAGGATGCCCCAGACCCAGCAGGAGGAGCAGGGCGGCTCCAGGGCCCCGGGCAGGCACAGTCAGGAGCTGAGTCCCAGGACACCATCGCTTCCCCCCAGCTCTTGGCATCGCTTGGCAGGAAAAAACAACCCAGGGTGAGGCGTGGGTTGGACCCTGAGGATGACAGGGATGGGGAGAGGGCTCTGCTGCTTCCCTCCCTCCTGCCTCAGTTTCCCCTCCAAGAAAACACATGGGAGAACACAGGCTTGTGTCATGGAGAGGCAGGGTGGTGGGGGAAACCACGGGGAGGTACAGAGGGACCCAACTGCCACCGTGACTGTGCCAAGGAGCAATCTGAAGACAGGCAGGGCTCGAAGCACAGATGTCGGCACCGGCTGTGCCGCTCCTCGGCAGCGGGGCCGTCTGGCAGGCGGAGCCGGGGCTCCCCGGCTCCCTCCATGGGCCGGCACAGACACCGCGGGGGGACCCCGTCCCTCACACACACAGAGGTGCAGCACTGCCCTGCTCCCCACCCCCCAAATGTGCAGCCCCCACCCTCAGCACACGCCCCCCAGTGCAGACAGCCCCCAGTTCACCTCCCAGCTCCTGCACACAGCTCCCGGTCCCCAACCCCAGTACGCCCCCACCCAACGCACACAGCCCCCGGCCCAGCAGACACAGCCCCCCGGGCCAGCTCCGCAGGGAACGGGAGCAGAGACCTCGGGGCTGGGAGCTCCCCATCCCGGCTGGGTGAGCTCCCCGGCTGTCGAGGCTTGCCTGGGCGAGGGCTGGCCGGGAGCCACGAGCTGCACTCCCTGCACACCAGGGAGGGGGACTCGGCCAGGAAAGGGTTAGAGCTGAGGGCTGCCCGGGGGCTCCCGCTCTGCCCGGGCTGGGGGGCTCTCCGAACCGGCACCTCTGGGCACAAAGTGGGGCTCTCCCGAGACTGGGGCTCTGCAAGGCACGGGCCCCCCCGCACGGGGCCGGGCCCGCTCCCCTCCCACCCACCGCCCCACTCACCCGGCCGCCGCTGCTAAGCCATGAAGTTGCCGGCCTGGGCTGGGCGGGAGCCGGAGGACGGAGGCGGCACAGCGGCTGGATTCCCTCTGCTCCTGCGAGATCCCTGCGGGCTGCCCATGCCGCGGCCAGGCCGCTCGGCGAGGCCGGAGGCGTTCCCCGGGGTCACGGCCACCCACGGCCGCGGCGGCGGCGGCGGCGGCGGCCACGCTCCCGGTGCCGACACCGGCACCTTCCAGCCGGCGAGAGGCGGTGGCGGAGCCGTCGCCCCCGCGCGCTGGGGACACACCCACGCGCGCTCCCCGGCGCTCTCGGCCACCCCCGCGCACCGACAGCACCCCCGGGAAGGGGCTGCCCACGCCGGCAGCGCCGCACGCCCACGCACCGCCCCGCACGCACCGCCCCGCTGCATCACCCGTGCCGGCGGACGGGCACGCAGCCCCGCGCGGCCGGACGGACACACAGACACGCACGGCCAGGCGGACACACAGACAAGCAGCCCCACACCTGGATGGCACACGGACGCGCAGCCCTGCACAGCCAGACGGTCACACAGCCCAGCACACCCGGACGGACATGCAGCCCCACGTGACTGGATGGACACACGGACACAGAGTTCTGCACACCCAGATGGTCACATGGCCCCACGTGCCTGGATGGACACACGGACACACAGCCCTGCACACCCAGGTGGACACGCAGCCCCACATGCCGAGGGATGGACGGACACACGGCCCCGCATGCCTGGATGGACACACGGCCGCTCGGCACCGCTGCACCCCCGTGCACCCACACGGCCACACAGCCACGTGCTCCCGGCTGCTCCGGCACCGTGGCAGTGCTGTGCACCCACCCTGCTGCTCCCACCCACGGCGTCCCACTCACCCCCACCCACCCACTCCTCTGCACCCACGGGCACCCGCGTGCAGCCCTCACCCCCATCAGCTCCCCACACACTCACACCCACGGGCACCCGCTGCGGTTCCCCCGCCCTGGGACTGTCCCCAGTGTCCCCCAACCCAGAGAAGGCCGAAGGGAGCCCAAGGGAAATGTGTGTTGTGGCACGAAACATGAAACACGGAGACCATCCCTCAGCTCAGCTGCACTGGTGGCACTGATGGCACCACCCTGGGGTGCATCAACCACCACAGGGTCTCACCTCGACCCCCCAGCTGGGGACACCAACCCCAGCAGGGACAGCCACCTCCAGGACACACAGCATCTCCCCGGTAACAACCAGGTCACTATTCCCAAAACAAGTGGCCCAGGACCCCCAGTGTCACCACAGCCCCTCCAGCCCCTTGGGGAGACAAGAGGTGCCCGGGGTCGAGGCCACAGTGCCAGAGATGGGACACTGGCAGGTCCCATCACACCAGGGGTACCTTCAGTTTTTGTAGTCCTCTTGCTCCGACATGGCACCCACACACGCCCACGGACAGGCTGTTCTCCCCCTCCGCTCTGCCCACCAAAAACTTCAGCTAATTCCCAGCCCAAATGGCTCCCGGTCCTGCAGCAGGAGAGGCCGGGCAGGCAGAGAGGCCCCATCACTGCTCACTGCCCAGAGCTGCCAGTTTAAGGCCAACCAGACTCCCGGTGAAACGCTGAGCTCTGGCAACCACGCCGCAAACATCTGCTCTTCCAACGGCATCGTGATTCACAGGCTATTAATTGGGGCTTGGCAGCGCTGGGAACTGTTTGCATCCCCTGGCTTCGCTCAGAGCCACAACTCACTGCCGCCGAGGTCTGGGTGCCGGGGACGGAGCCAAACCCCAGAGCCAAACCCGGCAGTGCACCGGCCGCAGTGGAGCCGCACCGGGACCGGCCGCGGGCACAGTGCCCAGCTCCCACACCAGCCACACAGACACCCGGCAGCGATGCAGGGCCAGCCCCAGGAACACAGCAGCAGCAGTGCCTGGTGCTTGGCAGGAGCTGCCGGAGCTGCCGGCACAGCCCCGGTGCCCACCGGACCCAGGCGCTTTGGCACGGTGGGTTGGTGGGCGCTGGTGGTGCCCTGCCAGTCCCTGTGTCCAAACACCGCTGTGTTTCCATAGGGTCTCCCAGCTGCCTCCACAGGTGGCACGGGGGAGCCACTCCTCGAGGCGTCAGCTTTGAGGGCAGATGTGGAGCAGACCCTGCTCGGGAAGCAGCAGACAAAGACTGAGAGGAGCCTCCAACAACAGCCAAGAGGAATCTGAATTCAGAAGCTGATTAGAAACCATGTCATGGCTCCTTCCCGCTCCAGCATTTGGGGAGGAGTGAGCTGGGGCCGACGTGGAAAATCTAATTAGGATTTTGGGCAGGTTGCAGAGGTGCTGACACGGGCGCTGTGGGGGCACAGCCACTCATGGGAGGGGGACACCGGGTGCTGCAGAACCCCCAGCCACGTGGAAACGGGGAAAGTACAAATTAATTCTCCTTAATCTGATGGACACTCGCTCCACTGCCACGTGCCATGGCAGCGGGCAGAGAGCAGCCCGGCCTCCCCACAGCTCGGCTCATGGCTCATGGGCAGTGCTGGCCCAGCCCTCTCTGTCCCCCCGTGGGTGATGCCCTGGGGATGAGCTGCTGGGCAGGGCAGGGGGAGCAGAAGGGGTTCAATCCTGCTCAGTTTGGATGAGGTGGGTGTGGAGCACTGAGCTCAGCCTGCCCCCTCCACGGCTCTCGGGGTGGCCCCCCTGTGCTGTTACTCGTAGAGGGGCTGGGCATCACAGGGCCATCGAGACAGCCACGATGTGGAGGCCACTTTGTGAGCACAGGCTTTACACCCAGTTCTCAGGGATGGCAAAGCCCCGAGGCCGCCCTGAAGGGCCCTGCACGGGGTCCACAGCACCGGGCACGGCTCTGCACATCCCCCTCCCCTCGCCTTCCCCCAGCACCTGCCGTGCCCTGTGCCACCCACACCACGGGGACCTCCTGCCCTCTGCGAGGAGGGGAGCTGTCCCCTCCACCCGGCCCCCCACCGGGGTGTCCCCCAGGGCACGTCTGGGCCGTGCCCCCCGCCCGCCCCACGAGCCCCTCGCTGCTGGAACGTCTCGCCTGCTATTCTTGGCTCTCCAGCGCTGTGCTCTCCAGGCAGTGCCACCATATATTACTATTATTGCTGGCTGCCAACGTCTTGGAGCAGGCAGCCAGGCCTGTGATGGGGCTTCCACACCCCTGGTGACCTGTGATTCGGTCCCTGCCGGGCTCTGGTCTTCAACAGGCTATTTCGGGAAATCCAATTTGATGGGCAGAAGGAGCACGAGCCACACTGTTCAGCCCCTGTGCCGGATCCAGGCTCCTCACGTCACCACTCAGATCCAGATTTTAGCTTCGCCCGTGATGGCAATAAGGGCCAAGAGTCACCTTTGGCTCCAGATCCAAATTTCTGGCTGGGTAGGATCCAGGATTTTGGATCAGCTTGTTGGAGAGATGCGAGCGGCTGCAAAACCTGGATCTGGAGCTCCAGCCCCCACAGCAGCACCACCTGGGCACGAGGCCTGATCCTGCCCCCGTGAGTGGGCAGAGCTGTGGGGAGGCACACACCAGCACAGCCACCAGCCACCTGCACGGGCTCTGTGTCCCACAGGTCCTGGCATGGCTCTGCCCTCAAGCTGGTGATGGGGAGGCTGAAGGAAGGGCCCCCACCAGGGACCCCCAGCCTGGACTGCCCGACACCCTCTGTTCCTCCCATGCCTTGCCCAGGCTGCTGAGAGCCAGGCCCAGAAAGAGGGCTTGGAGGGCCGGGGGTTTCTCCTCCAGCCCACATGGCACAAGCCTTGGCACTCAAGGAGGGAGATTTGGACACCGAGAGCTCAGCACCAACTCGCCCAGGCTGGATGGGGACACCACAGTTGTGTCACCCTGTTCCCTGCAGCAGGAATGCCCAGAGCTGGTCCTGGTGCCCAGGCTCGGTGGCACAACAGTGCCCAAGGCAGCCCCAAACACGGCTCATGCCTGTGCCCCCTCTCACCACTGCTCTCACCACCCCCACAGCCAAGAGGGGCCCCTCTGGCTCAGATGCTCCACGGTCACTTTGATGGCTATTTTTGCATTCCCAGCCCTGCCGGCGCTGCAATAACGCTTCAAAAGGGCTGACATGCTCCTTCCAGACGTGCCCATCTCCCCGTGGCCTTCCCCGTGCTCCATCCCCCTGCAGAGGGGGTCCTGGAGGGCCGGGAGCCATGGATGCACACGTGGGGACAGAGGGAGCACGGGGGTGAGGAACTGAGAGAGACAAAGACCGACATCCATTTCCTGGAGGAGAATCTGTGCTGCCGGCTGGATCCTGCCCCGATTTACACCGAGGGAGGCCGCCTGCTCCCACGGGGACAGCCAGCACCCATCAGCCCGGCTCTGTCCCCTCCTGCCGGGGGTCCCGCCGTGGGCAGCACAGCCCTGCACGCCTCGAGGGAGGTGACGTGCGGGGCTGGATGTCACGGGATGGAGAGAGACCAGCGGTCCCAGAGCCAACTTGCTCTGCAGGTTTGGCGCAGGATGGAGGGACCAGACCGGCTCCTCCAACAAAACCCAGCCGTCCGGGGGGAAGGAAGGCGTCGGGAGGAGGGAGAGCCCAGAGCCTGGCCCCCGGAGCATTCCTTGCCTGCCAGGCGGGGTTGGACCGTGGCGGTGATGGCACCGCTCGGCTCGTGCCCCGCGCCAGCTCCCAGCACCCGGCCGGGCACGGCCCTCGCACCCAGCGCCACCCCTGGCAGGATGGGAGGGGGAGCCCCCCGGGCTGGGGAGGGGTCCTGGGCCTGCCCCGAGCCCTCCGCTGCGGGAGAGCGCAGGATGGCTGCTGTCGCCTTCAAGGGAGAAGCTGGAGGGGCTGCGGGCTGCGGCCCCCTCCCCAAAGCCTCGGGCAGCAGGAGATGGGGATGCCCGCACCCCTTCTTCCGCGCCCACCGGGGGATCCTGGCCGAGCTCAGCACCGCGGTACCGGCAAAACCTTCCCTGCCATCCGCCGCCTCCATCCCCCCCGGTTCCATCCCGGGTCATCCCCCCGGTTCTCCCCGGACACCCTCTCGGCGGGGCTGGATGGGTCCGCAGGCGACACGTCCCGTCCCTACGGGGCCGGTCCCTCACGGCCCCGGTGCCCCGCAGGGGAGAGCCCCCCTCCCGCGCCGGGCACCGCATCCCCCCGGGACCGGGGCCGCCCCGCCGCTCTTACCCCGCTCCCGCCGCCTACATCCTCCGGCGGCTCCCGGGCGGCTCCCCGACGGCCCGGCTCGGCCGCCCCCGGCCCGGCTGGTCCCG